TACACCAAAAGCACACTTTAGAGGATTCATCTTCAGGCCATAGTGTCTCATCCTCTCAAAGGACTGTCGAAGGTGATCCATATGGGCCTTCCCTGAAACAGATTTGACAACAATATCATCAATATAAATTTTCATGAAAGTGTCAATAAAATCATGGAAGATCGAATTCATGGATCTTTGGTATGTTTCCCCTGCATTCTTTAGGCCAAAAGGCATCACTACCCATTCATAGGTGCCTAAATCCCCAGGGCAACAAAAGGTCGTTTTCGACACATCTTCTTCAGCAATGAAGATTTGATTGTATCCAGAGTAGCCATCCAACATACTCATGTATTCGAAACCAGCGGCAAAATCCACAAGCATTTCCGCCACTGGCATTGGATATTCATCTTTGGGTGTTGCAGCATTGAGATCTCTGAAATCAATGCACACCCTAAAGGTACCATTTTTCTTTATAACAGGTACAATATTTGCAATCCATTCGACATACCTGGTCGTTCTAATGAACTTGCACCTCAGTAGCCTTTCGACCTCCGTTTTGATCTTTGATAAGATCTATGGCGCAGACCGTCTTGGAGTCTGCTTAACGGGTTTCTTTCCAGGCTTTATTGGTAACTGCAGTTCGACCAATCCTCTGTCAAGACCAGGCATCTCGTCATAGTCCACGCGAAGCAGTCCTTGAACTCTTTCAGTAATTTGATCATTTTGATCTTGAGTCCCGGATCCATTTTTGTGCTTATGTATGTGGGCCTGTTTACAGGATCTTCGCCTAGATTTACCTCTTCTAGAGGATCTTGTGCCAACATTATGATATTGTTCGCCAACGGGTCCTTTTCGAAACCAAGAGGTTCGTCGTCATAGATGGCGTCTAACCTCTGGTATAGAAAGTCTTTCGTTCCCAAGTCAGGAGGCTCTGGGTCGAAATCTTTCCCAGGCCCTGTCTTCGAAAGGACTTGTTCATTGGCTTTGGAAGCCACATATTTAACTTCAGCCTCTAAGGCCGCTATCATTCTACTTTCGGCCACATAAGCCGAAATCTTTTGGAGAGTTGATGACTCAGTCATCATCATAAAACTCGTTGCCCCAGCCTGTTGGCCGTATATCACTGACTCCTCCAAAGTCTATGTTGGATAAATCTTCTCTATCCCACTGGAAGCCATAATTGGAGTGTAGGTATAGAGAGTAAAACGCATTAGGAGTTGGAGTTAAATCAAACTCTGGTGGGTTACAAGGACCTATGTGAGCCAAATTCCAGTCGAAATCATTCTTTCCGACACTGTTTATTTCACTAAGGTTATAACTCTGGTCTGCTTCAATGTTCTCCACAATGCCATATGGGCGCCACATTATGACCCTTTGGTGCGTCGAAGATGGCACTGCTCCAATGCCACGTATCCACTCTCGACCAAGGAGTAGATTGTAGTTGGGCTTTGCTGAAATAACCATGAACATGGTGGATCGAAGGATTGAGCCCACTTTGAGGTCTAGTTGAATGACACCCATTGTGGTGCCAATGCCCCCTTCATAGTTGGATAAGACCATGTTGTGTGGCTTTATGTCAGCATCTCCTTTGCCTAACTTTTCCAACATGAATTGTGGTATGATATCGATGGTTGCCCCACAATCAACCAGAATTTTGTTTATGGTTACCTCTCCAACTTTTGGTCTAATGAACAACGGTTTCAGATGGCTCTTTATTGCCTCTGTTGGTGGTTCAAAGAATGTGTTTTGTTCTTCCACGCATCCATTGTTCATTATATAATAACATACTGGCTTATGTCTAGCCAGTTCTTGTTCAACCATCAGACCAGTCTCTTCAACTTCGACCTCACGGTTATATTCTTTCAGCAGCACAAATATGACGTTAACCATGATATCTAAACTGTCACTAGAGTCGGAGTCGTCTTCATCGTTCGACCCACACTCTTTCGCCCAGGGTACAAGATTTCTCTCCAGAGGCTTCCTTTGTCTTTTCTGCACATTAGTGCTAACTTATGGATGAGATCCAGCTGCCTCTTTCTCAGCCTTTCTCCATCTTTGAAACCTTCTCCACTGTGAACGAGACATAGGATTTTTTCCCTTATAATTGCTTGACACATGGGTCATTTTGTTCGATGCAGAAGCATGGTACTCCTTTCTGTAATCTAGAGAAGAACCTCTTGGTACGTCGAATGTATGCCACCTTTCTTTATTTGGCCATTTTCTTCCCATGGTATTCAGCCAAGTATCAGTAGGTACATTAGTTGGAGGCCTGAAAGTTGGTGGCCTCCTTTCCTGATTCATGGGTCTTTGTTGATGTCCCCTTCTGGGGTCAAATCGAATTTCTGGACCCATTCTTTGTTGGGAATTGGTGCCCTATTTTGCTTTTACAGCCCGCATCACTTGTATGTATGTATTCAACAACCTTCTTATAAAAAATAGAGTTACACCTAGGGCATAGCATTACTTCTGATTTCTTCTTTTGGCATCTATGCAAAAAATCTGCCAAATTTTCATCCTCCTTTGGGAATGCAGTTTTGTTTACTTCCTCTTGTCGAAGGGTTTCCTCTAAAACTTTAGCTCCAGAGACTTCGACCATATTAACCGGCATGTTGCTTTTGGCAGCCAGGTTCATCTTCTGCATTTTGGTCTCCAAGTCCTCTGTCGAACCCTTTGCAGCAGCCAAATAAGAACCTGTTGTGGTTCTTTTGCTGGAGCTTTCAGCAACTCCTTTGATCAGTTTTAGGCCACCAACAACCTTCTTGTTTGACGCTTGGTCAACTTCCTTTTTTGAATCCAGACCTTCAGTAGCCTTTCTCACCCCTTCAATTGTTTTCCTGGAGATGTTCCCAGTGAAACTTCCGAAGATGGGTTTTGTGATGAAATCTTCAGACACTTCCACCATATGAATGCCAACTGGTTCGGCATAATGAGCCTCTGCCTGCAGTGGGTTTGTGTCGATTTTCATTGCTGGTTTATCAACAAATTTCAGCCTTCCTTCCTTCAGTGCATGTTGAACGAGATCCCTGAAAAGGAAACATTGTGAGGTTTTATGTCCCAAAAAATTATGATATTTACAAAAACCTCTTTTCTTTCTCTATTCTAAAGGAGGCAATTTAGCCCCTGGGGGCACTATCATTTGTCCATCTTTAACTAATAGATCGAATATTTCGTCACACTTGGATATGTCGAAGCTATAAGTTTTCTTAGGAAATTTATCACTGTTTTTCTCAGGTTCCACAGGATTTTTCCCATTTGATGGCCCCAACAATTTACAAGAATATGGTGGTCCTTGTTTTAATTCATCTAAATCAATTTCACCTTCTTCGACATCTATAGGATCGTTGTATGTCTCCGGATCGTCATCATCCATTTCGACATAAGCTACCCTTTCTCGTCGAAGAGTTTTGGCAGTTTTAGCCTTTTCAGCTTTAAGGCGTTCTACTTGTCGAACCCTATCATCAAGTTGGGCCATATCCCTTAGGTATTGTGTATCCAACTTTTTCCTAATCGAATAATCCAGGCCACCTGCTGCTATTTCAACTAATTCATGCTCAGGCACTTGGGTAAAGCATCTGGCTTTGAGTAATCGAAATCTATTTAAATATTCATCAATTGGCTATGTGAACCTTCTTTTTACACTAGACAATTCTTTTAGACTTATCTTGGTTTGACCCATGTAAAATTGTTCATGGAACAATCTTTCCAATTGGTTCCAGTTGTGGATCGAATTGGCTGGGAGGGTAGTGAACCAAGTGAAAGCATTTTTAGTTAAGGAACTTGGGAAATATTTGATTCTAAGGTTCTCATTGTTTGCTATCTCGCCAGCCTCTATCAAATATCTGGCCACACGTTCGACAGTCGACTCTGTCGTATCCCCTGAAAATTTAGTGAATTTTGGGACTTTTCCCCTAGGTGGTAAGTCCGTTTGCAGAATATACTCTGAAAATGGGGATGTAAAGTTTGGTCTGTGAAAACCAACATTCATCCCGTTTTGAAGCATGATTCTCTCGATCATAGCGGTTAAATTATTATCCGCCCCATAGTTCTGGTGTCGAACTTGTTGTATTAATTCATCAGCGTTTCAGTTTCTATTAGCCAGAATAACGCCTTGATCGATTTCTCGATGGTTTCGAGGTATCTCTATTCTTGGTTGTTCTACTTCTACCCTTGGAATTTGGGGGTTTGGATTAACGGTCACATCTTCTTCCATAATGACTCCTTGATTTAGTCTTATTGGTACCCTTTGTGGTTGTCGAACAACTTGGGGTAGTTGAGCAACTTGGGGTACCCCAAAGAATTCGGCCATGCCCGTCATTTGCATTGTCATCTGTTGATTCGACTGTGTAGCAGTCTGAATGAGGGGATTTAGCACTGTACTTAGAGTTTGTGCTAACATTTATACCATTTCATGATTACTTTCGTCCATTTGTTGCCTCAAAATTATCGTCGAAGCATTTGTGAGGCTTGGTATCATGTGAGATGGCCCTCCCAAAAATTGGTTTCTACTGGTTCCAGATCCCTGTAATGGTGATGTTGCATTCACCAAAGGTTCTGAAAAGGTAGACGCGGCATTCATAAGGCTAGCCATTTCAGTAGTTGGCATGCCATATGGCTGTTCTCGACCCATCCAAGTTGTCGAAAAGCCTGGGGGTACAGTTGATTGAGACCCTAGGTTTATCCTTGGTGGGGGTGTTCCCAAAGGACCTCTTGGACCCACATACGTAAGTAAGGGTCCAGTTTGATTCATGGTTAACGCTGGTATTGATCCAACAGAAGTTGGGATATTCCCTTCGACAATAGTAGTAACTGTTGTTCCTGTGATCGGTGGAGGTATTTCTCCATGGTTTGGCTCGTTAGCCATACTACTCTCTCCGTTTTCTTTCCTAACAGTATATTTGTTGGTTACTCTACCACTTCTTAATAACATGCAATGTTATAACTGTACAGAAAAAAACACAATAACCCATAAAATTAGCAACGTCCCACCAGGTGTGCCAATTTGTTTACCGTGGTTTTTGGTAAACAACCGCTGATCTCCAAAAAAAGTAAGGTTTTTGGTTTATTTACGGGATCGACCAAACTAATCCCAAAACATATGCTAATCTTTATGTAAAATGAGTAAGAAGGAAGAAAGCACGTTCGACCCAGAGGAAGGGTGTTTGAGATTGTTGAATAGTAAGCAAAAGCATAAAAATGCAAGTAAAAGAAGTAAAAAGATGACTTTGCAGGATAATGGTAAAGTAATGCAAAAACACTTTTATTAAGTAAAAAAGGTGTTTCTAACGCACATTGCTCCACTTTTATCATTTCTCACGCAGTAGTTACTTGGATAATATTTGAGAGATTTAGTATAATAAGTTGAACACACTTAAAAATCACATAAGCTTCTTAATTTATACTAAAAGTAGGTAACCGTCGAGGGGACATTCTGCGCTAGGATGAAGAAGAGTGTCTTCTGCATGCCTCTCGACCCATAACTTCTTGCCACATTGCCTTTCCTTAGACGCTGATGAAAACTAGCTTTCCCTCCAATAATTCAAATTTCAAATGGTCTTCGTCACATGTGCTAAAGCGTGAACACTTTCCTTCAGTCGAGCAACATACATTTACTTCAGTCGAATGAACCCTTGGTCGAAGATTCTTATCATAACTTAGATCCTTTTTTCTAAGTTATCTCATGTGTCGAATGATACCTACTGGCTTAGTTCATTCCAGTTGCTTGGTCCAAAAGACCGAATACAGTAGGTGTCGAATTTGGGAGCCAACAAGTCATCAATTCACAAATGAAACAAGAAGTTGAGATTCACATTGCAATATGAAAAATTGAGTTCAAATTGAGCTTTAAACCTTCAAATCTAATCCAGCCAGCAACTATGCACATGAGACAAAGCTTTAAAAATTCAATCTCAAACATGTTTAGCGCAAAAGGAAATAGCACAGTAATACCACCCATATTAACTCTTGAATTCAAACTCGAATTATCACCAAAATACTATTTGAATCGTCTTTAAAAGAGAAACACACAAGCATGCCACAAACTACTATTCAACTCAAGAATAAAAAGATTTTCTCGCTCAAATTCAGACAAAGGAAACAACATGTTGTCTTCAATAGTTTCTCAGTCAGATTTACACACAAATAAATGCGGCATTATTGTCACCTTCATCGAAACTAAAACTTGAATATCCTTCATTCACAATCTAAATCGAAATTAAAATGGAAACAAAATTATCATGCTATAAATGTCAAATGAATTTAAAAATGAATAACATGATAACAAACTTCATCATACACAACAAAATGCATCCAACATAGAAATTCAACCAATCCTGACACACTCAATGTAGGCATTGCCAAACCGAATTTTATCATAAATTTCGTAGCATAAGGATTTAATTGAACCTACCGAACCAATTTTCAGAACTTGTCACTGAAATTTACAACATAACAGGGGCATAACGAACTAATCCACACCAAAATCGACGAACCGTTTTTTTTTAAAATTCAACACAGAAACTTTTAGCATCATGGTTATCTACCACATATCTCAAAATAAAAACCTAAAACTAACACCAACTATTATCACAACATAGTAGTTCTAACTCAAATCAAAACAAAATAGTAACACAGTTCTCAAAATTTCAGCAACACAATAGTAAAGGGATCAAAACATACCGACAATCTGAAATCTAAAACAATGGAAAATTGGAGACAAATCGCGTGTTGAACAAAAGCTGTATGAATGCTACTGCAACGGAGAGAGATGCTAGCAGATGGAAATCGCACGAGCGCAGTCAGTAGCAGAGAAGCGGAAATCGTTGAACTATTGTGTTGGTCGAAGGTTCAGTGGCGTGAGGGAATTGAAGATGATGCACTAAGGGTTGATGAAGATGAGTGGTCGCATGGAAGTTTGTGGTTTGGACGTAGCAGTGTGTTGACGAAAGTTAATAGAGGGATTATGCGCGGTTAGCTTATGCGGAAACAGAAGAGGGAAAGGGTGGTATCATGGTGAAGGGCGAAGGTGAGGTAGACAACAGATTAATGTTTGTGTGTGGATTGAAGGGGTTACGGAAAACTGTTGTTGTAAATGGAAGGAACAGAGGGTGAGGTAAAGGGAGATAAAGGGAGATTGGTGAGTGAAGGTTGAGGGGCCAGATGAAGGTTGAGTCGCGGGGATAGGATAAGAGAAATAGAAGGGTGTTTGTGGAAGAAGGTTGTCACAAGAGAGAGAGAGAGAGAGAGAGAGAGAGAGAGAGAGAGAGAGAGAGAGAGAGAGAGAGAGAGAGAGAGAGAGAGAGATGGAGATATGCTGGATTGTTGATTGAAGAGATGAGGGGGTTACTGATTGTGATGTTGTTTTTGTAATGTGTTTAACAAAGAAAGAAGTGAGACTATTAAATAGGAAGATGAAGAGTAAACTCAATTTCTTTTCTTCAAATCCACTAGCTCTTTTTTTCTCTCGAACCTTAACTTTATCTAACAACCAATGAGAGTAAAGCTTAGTTCAACAAATATTTTTTAATGATTAAAAATACCTCTAAAAAATAAAAATGACATAAAAACCTGAAAGTATAAAAATTAATGCAATTTAAAATAACTTTTTTGATTTTTTCTGAATAAATAAAATAGAGTCCCAAAATGACTAAAAATGATAAAAAAATGGACAAAAATCTAACCGAAAAAATAAAATGTACACATTAAAATAAACTACCTGTCTCAAAGATTAATGAAAAAAATATTCAAATGATCAAAATCGAAATAAAATGAGAATAAAAATATCAGGCTGAACCAACGTTTACGGTTAAAAACGAGACTTTGAACTGTACCAAAAAAATGAAGTGATCATACCGTCATAATCTCTACGAAATGCAGATTCATAAAATGATCAGTAAAAGGTGAAAACTTGAGATATTTTTCTCATTAATTTTTCGCACAGTATCGAATCACTTTTAACAATCTGTCTGTAAAACCGAAATATCAATATTATCGACATATAAACAACTTAGAGCAATGCAATGAACGAGTAAAGAGATAAAAATGCATGAAGTGCAATATTAAGTATTTTTTAACTAAAAAACGATGCAAACTTCGATTTAAACCGATTTTTGGTCAACTTAAATATGACTAATGATGCTAAATGTAATGAATGAATATATTTGTTAATGATTGTGACCAAATAACAAAATATGATATGAAAGTGCGACTAAAAAATTTAGGGGCGAAATTTAGAGTGCAACACATAACAAAGTTCTCTCAAATTCTCAAAAAAAATTCAAAAGTTGCAAAACTCATAAACCTGAGTTTCAGCTTCTCCCATTCAAAACCAACGACTCCTTCATCCTTCTGAGATCTCCAGGAGGCGATTCATATCATTACTCAACCCCCACGCGGCGTCTCAGATCATCCTCACAACTATCCCACGATGTTTTGGTAAAATTTTGATTCCAAACTCTCTTATCATGTAACTTAAAACCAATTTTATGCATTCATTCTTGTTATTATTAATGTTGTGAGTAAATCTGATGTTTTACATGTAAGCATAAAGGCAGAAATAACATGATGTCATGGTTATGGCGTGGAATGTAGGAAGCTTCAGATTTCGTGATTCATGAGTTCTTAATCCAAACTAATGGCACCATTGAGATCGCATGGTCCAATATAATGGATCTAGAGTTTTTTTTGTTTGATTGATTTTGCAGATTTTGAAGAAAAATCCCCATCGGAGATGATTGTGTTTTCTACCCTCCATGATGGTTTGGAAAACACAGAGGAGGTCAACACAGGCGTGGCAGAATGAAATTGTCACGATTAGCCTATTCCTCTTTCTTTTTAAAAAAAACTTATTTATTTAAATTTCTTTAATCTTTTCTTTTATAAAATCATTAAAAAAATTAGATATAGATTTTAATTAATTAACTTTATTTTCACAATAAAAATTAATTAACTTAATCACTTTTTAAGTTTATTTTATTAACTAAAATATAATTAGAATTAGGCTTTAATTATCACTCAATTATTTTTCTAAATAAAAACACCAAAAATATTTTCTTATACTTAGAATTTTTTAGGTTTTTTTTATAGATATCTTCCTCTCTTCAATCTCCGCGCACTTATTTACTTTTTCACATTTTTTCAATATAGTAACTGTCTAAAGTTTATAATAGCTAATTAGGACCTTTACCTTTTTATTCCCCAATTTTTGGTTTGTACTCCCCATCCCCGAAGCGATGTAATAGTGTAGTTTAAATTTCACATTTTTACTTTCTGCATTTGTATATATTTAACTGCTAGATGTATGCTAATAGGCTTGTATGGGAATACTAAAAGAAAACGCTAGACAACCTAACCTCAAGACTAATAACGGAAACACAACACACTTCACACACGCACACCTCTAAGGTACCTCCACTTGTTGCCTTCGGAAAAAAAACAGTCATGTCCCTCAAACGTGGGACACTTTAGCAAAGTCCCTCGATACAAAGATCATAGTCCCTCGATGACCCTTTGATGTTGCCTTTCGGTAAATTATATAGTCTCTTACGATAAATTGATAAAGCGTCCTACAAGTTTCCTTTATGACTGTACGATGACCCGCACCTGTCCCTCAAACATCCAATGATAGGGCTACCCACCAACTAATGGTAGGATAGCACTATATAAAGAAAAAGAGGAAAATAACAAAGATCTTTCAAGTAGGTTGATAGCTTGTAGTTTCTTTCTCACAAAACAAAACAATTTCTCACACATACGCTTTCTTTTCTAAATATTTTCAAAGACAAAAACACTTTGTATGCATTATCAACGATACGAGGATCATTACAAAGTTTTCCGCACTAAGGCATCTTTTCAAAATATTTTCAAAACACACTTACACAAAAAAAAACATTTTCAAAGTAGCTAGCAACTAAGAGCTCATAGATAACTATGAATGGAAAGGGTGCTAGCACCTTTCCTTTCCATAACCTACCCCCTGAACTCAAAATCTTTAAAAGGTCTTTCCTGTTCTTTTCACCCTTTCCTTTATTGGATAAAAGAAAGTCGGTGGCGACTCTTACTAACCGCGATATTTGCGATAAAATGTAAAATGAGTAAAGTCAGTTCTCCCACCGTATTACAGAACTGGCGACTCTGCTGGGGAGAAGTACTAAAAGTAGGGTTACCTTAGATCTAAATCATATTTAAAATGCTTAACTTGTTTGACTTGATTACTTTACATTTCGGGTTTATGTTTGGGTTATTCTTAAAGATCCTATACCCGAATCTGGGGCACTTTAGGTAAGTAGCAATAGATCGTGGGGACTATGCGGCGTAATACCGACATGGTTGAAGCAATGGCTACGTTAGTGTGACACATTTTTTGGTACTAGTATCCCTTGAGTCCAGTCGAGGAGAATACATGGCCGCTTTGTGGTGTCATAAAGCATTAACTGACCGTAGAACCTTAGTTGAACAACTTGGTCATTAGAAAGTAGTGAGATAGCCGACTTTGGTGCAAGACTAAAGTTGGTTGATACTCGTTACTACACTCATTGAGACCGGACTTTCGGGATATTTCGATCGCTAATAAAGAAGCTTGTGCTGAAACAATGCCCGAGAGAAAGATCGGTGATATTGAGATTCCTTAGAACCTGCTTACTTCTTTTAGAACAGGTCGAACCAACTAAACTTCAAGAGGGTACTTACCTATAAACTCCATGCAAGCCTGGACCTAAGGCCACTTATGTGACTTGTTTGCATTCATTATCTAATAACTTGAATTCCTTGCAGGACTTGTTTGTAGTCATTATCCAATAACTTGGACTTCTTGCAATACTTACTTGTTTTCACCGTCTTACACTTTTTCTTGGTGCATAGCTTACACATCATGACATCATTCCATAGCATTTCCATTACCCATTTCAAGGATCTCAAGATCATGTGATGCAGGTAATCATAAACCATACGCCTAGCAAGGGGCGGAAGGATTTTTTTCCTCTAACCAAATACCGTCAAAGTATCATGAGCCGATATTTAGCAAGGGGCAGGGGGGCTTATTTTCCTCTAACCAATGTCGTCAAAGACCGAAGTACACTATTTTGAGTCAAAGGCTATGACCCACTCGACATGGTGAGCTTGATTCTCGTAGAAGGACATTCAATGATACGAAGTTCTTCAATCGAGGTTACAGTCAGATTCAGTTGCTAACATTTTCTTGTGTTTCCCCACGAGATTCTTGAAAACATCGCATGCATATCATTACATAACAGGTATTCTCAAGACAGGTTTCTCATTTTCTATTTATTTTGGAAAAGAAAATGGCTCTCGAATAGAACGACAGATATCTCCAAGCTCAAGATGCTCAGTTCAAAGAAATGTTCCTTAATCTATCCAAGGGACAAGAAGAATTGAAAGCACTCCTCGCTGGGAACTTAGCCAAGAAAAATCTGACGACAACAAGGATGACCAGTTGGAACAACTACAAGCTGAGATGGAAAGGATGAGAATTCAAATGAATAGTAACATGGCTCTTATATAAATAGAATCACTATTTGTGAGCTAGAACACGAGCTTAAGCACTCTGAAATACACAAAAACTCTCTTAAATCCGAAATTGCCAAAAACACCATTGTTGCACAGTTTCTGACCTCAAACATCAAACTCATATTTCCCTCGTGCGTTTCTTGGCCTTTTGGTTCCTAAAGCTTCCTTACATCAAATACAACTCATCCCCATCCTTATTCCAGAACTGTAATACCATTTACCATAACCTCCATAACCAAAAAATAGAGTCTGCAACTTGACTTCTCTAGGCCATTTCAGCCACTCTCAACTCAAGCAAACCATTGCATTAGCTTTCTGGGACCTCAAGGAAGCTAACCTGATCATCACCACCACTTGAAACAAGCTCAAACTCAAAACATGATTTCTAGTTTTGAGGTAAGTTTTCTCAACTTTGAACTCTTCATACAGGCATCATCAATAGTTTATTTGTGAACAAAATATGTAGATATCATTGCCCTGAAGCTAATCATGTCCATAGTTTCCATTAATTTTGCTTGAGCTTAGAGAATTTTGAAACTGAAATTTTTGAAATTTTTAGGGTTCAGATTAGGACCATTAAAATTCCTTCTTATCTTTGATCTATAGTTTTAATGATTTACATTTCTGAAAACGTGAGAAAATTTGCTACAAGTTTCATGTTTACATTTTTTATTTTTGATGAGAAATGAGCAAGTTACAGTTGGTCTGGCTGGAGGTTGAAGATGCAGTCATCAGGGCGCATTTTGCCTTGTATATTTATTGTTTTTCTTATGTTAACAGATGTATAGCCACCCCAGTGGTATAAGCGCGTGTCTGTAACCTATGGGACATGGGTTCGATCCCTAGTGGTACCCTTTTGATTTTTTTATATTTTTGCTTCCTGACTTTTGTTTTTTTGCAGGCGCTGGG